TGCTCCCTCTGCTGGACACTGCTGGCAGTGCTCCCTCTGCTGGACACTGCTGGCAGTGCTCCCTCTGCTGGACACTGCTAGCAGTGCTCCCTCTGCTGGACACTGCTAGCAGTGCTCCCTCTGCTGGACACTGCTAGCAGTGCTCCCTCTGCTGGACACTGCTAGCAGTGCTCCCTCTGCTGGACACTGCTAGCAGTGCTCCCTCTGCTGGACACTACTGGCAGTGCTCCCTCTGCTGGACACTACTGGCAGTGCTCCCTCTGCTGGACACTACTGGCAGTGCTCCCTCTGCTGGACACAGCTGGCAGTGCATAGCGAGATCATATCCATTAAAAAACATTTAACAAGGTTTTATAACATTTTCAGGGCTATTCACAAAAGTTAAAAGTTTGGAGAAGGCAGGAGACGTGAACAATCTAGGACAACATAGCTGATATGGAAAAGATCTCCAATTCAGCTCACTTTACAGTTCAGATATGTTGTCCTAGATTGTTCACTTCTCCTGCCTTCTTCTTGTGAATAACCTTGTTTGTATCTCTTGAGGGATTCATAAAAGGGTTTCCGTGGGTTTAAGATCAGCCTGGACACATTAGGGTTAAAGGTTATGCACTTTTAAAGGGATTTTGCCAGGAATTTTTAAAGTGAACCTGTGGTTGTATTTGGCTTATATCTGGTATATCTATTTTCGTGCATATCTATTTAAACTTATTTACATAGAATCTATATTTTACAAAGAAACATTAAATATGGTGCATTCAGTTTGCAGAGCATGCTAGGCTTACTTATAAGAAAGTCCAGCACTGTCTATGTGCTTCCTTTCAGCCTGTGCTTATAAGCTCACTGGTTAATCGATGGGATCTAATTTGCTTCATCCAATAAGATGATGGCATTATGACACCACCATTTTACTGCTGACACGGTGGGGCACCTGTCTTGGCTCACACAAGGAGGGTTTACTGCCTTACATTAAACCAGCACCTATGTCTAATAAAACATCTAAAGAGCTAAAGCCATCCTAGCGGAAAGAGCAAAGCTTGATACAGAGACCTTTTCCCACAGTCTGAAGATTCCAATTCGCTGTTACTGGTATTCAGAAGTGACCTGCAGAATCCTAAATGCTGACTTCACTGTGCTAACAGCCTTCGGTAGGCAAACTTTCAGATTGCTATTCCACAGCTAAAAGCACCCTGACTATCAGGTACAATGCTTGCTACTGTACAGAGAGACTCGCCAGCCATGGTGGCCACACACAATGGATGACCTACTATGAACAGATCACAAGGTACTCTTTTGCAAATAAAAAACAAATCGTCTTTGAAAATCTATGAAAATGTATGTGTAGAGCAGTTGTTCTAAATGTTTTTAACAAGGAGGAACCCTTGAAATGAAAAGAAACACAGGAAGTGAAAATTGTACTACTCGCTCATACTGTTGGTCAGTGAAGTGACCCTTTCAATAGTGGTCAGTGCAGAAGGGCCCCCATACATTGGTGGTCATTTGCAGCAGGACCTGCTTACAGTGGTGGTCATTGGGTGAAGGACCCTTTTACAGTGGTGGTCATTAGGAGAAGGACCCTCTTACATTGGTCGGCATTGGGAGAAGGACCCTCTTACATTGGTCGGCATTGGGAGAAGGACCCTTTTTCACACGTGGTCATTGAGAGAAGGACCATCATGCATTGGTGGTCATTGGGAGAAGGACCCTCATACATTGGTGGTCATTGGCAGAAGGACCCTCATACATTTGTGGTCGTTGGGAGAAAGACCCTCTTACATTGGAGGTCATTGGGAGAAGGACCCTCATACATTGGTGGTCATTGGGATTAGGACCTTCATACATTGGTGGTCATTGGGAGAAGGACCCTCATACATTGGTGGTCATTGGCAGAAGGACCCTCATACATTTGTGGTCGTTGGGAGAAAGACCCTCTTACATTGGAGGTCATTGGGAGAAGGACCCTCTTGCACTGGTGGGAATTGGGAGAAGGACCATCTTTCAATGGTGGTCATTGGGATTAGGACCTTCATACATTGGTGGTCATTGGGAGAAGGACCCTCATACATTAGTGGTCATTGGGATTAGGGCCCTCATACATTGGTGGTCTTTGGCATTAGGGCCCTCATACATTGGTGGTCATTGGCATTAGGGCCCTCATACATTGGTGGTCATTGGGATTAGGGCCCTCATACATTGGGGGTCATGGAGGAAGGACCCCTTTACACTGGTGCTCAATGGGAAGAATGCCATATATAGATAGCTAAATAGATCATTAGTACCAGTGGTTTTGTAACTGTGAAGCAGAAACTAAACTATTGCTTTTAGGGGGACATATCCTTTAATACATAATACCCAACTGTAAACTTTTCAAAATGTGGCCGGGTGATGTGAAGAACAATTTTACATTTAAAAAAAGTAACTTATACTGCACTTAGAATATGAATATCTGTGACTAACACTTGAAGTTTTATAAAACATGTTTTATATAAATCAATATCAAATTAATGTTTTCTGGTATTAAATATAATATTCATAGATACCGACACCCAAAGCATATGATGAATGATAGTTACAGGGACAAAGCATATGATTTAAGAGTCATCTCCACCCACAACTCGTATTTTAGCGTTTATTCCATTTCTCTTAGGACCCCGCAGTGAGTTTTCCCCGCGGCAGTTTGTGTTTTAAAACCCCCTATTATTCATTTATTTCATATTTAGGACTCATTCAGAGGGCCGTGCACACCCCTAAAAAGACCCGATCCTAGAGGGGACAGGTGCTGCATGTAATTGCTCACAGCGGCCTGTTCTTACCCTTCAGACAGTGTGCGTCCAAGGGCGGGCACCCAGACCCTCACAGACATGCAGCTTCAGGTGTGTGTGTGACCGCGTGTAATTGCGTGCAGTCGTGTCCTCCCATAGGGAAGAACTGGCTGCTCCATGCAATTACATGCAGCGCCTGTCCCCTCTATGATCGGGTCCTTTTACGGGTGGGAACAGCAGCATAAGAAGCCAATCAGTTGTGTTGCAGTGCATGGAACCATGCTGACTGCAGGAGAGAGGAGCTGCATTTACTGTCCAGTCACAGGCTTGAGAAGTGTGTGTGTACACGTGTATGTGTGTGTAAGTGAAACTGAAACAGAGAAAAATCAGGCCCCCTCCCGGACAGACAGGGCTGTGCTGTGTAGCAGAGCTGTGTGAATTTCATAAGTGAATATGTTGGCCTGTAGTTTGTTTAATCAATCATTAAAGGGTAGGGGCACTTTTATAGAGGTACAGGTTATCCCCCCTCCCCCCCCTTGTCTACTATACCCAAAGACTGAGCTTAGATGCTGTGCAAAGCTGCTTTACACTGCCCGACCGTGATCGGTGACCAGAGTAGGCGGTCCCCGCATAATTAGAGGTAGGGTTTGAACAGGCCACTCCAGTAAGTGGGTGGGGCCTGGGAGGGACTATCTGCCTACTGGGAGGACCTGAGGTGGGCTGTAGGCGGGGTTATCTGTGTCCCGGGGACCGGTGTTCTATCGAAAAGCTCCAACTCATCGAAATCTCCAACTAGCTCACTGCCGGGTACTTGCAAGTTGGAGATTTCGACCAGACCGCGTTAGACTGCAAAACACAAAGACTGACGGAGCTTCTGTACAGCTGCATTTTAACAATATTCAGCAGGTGGCGAACTTGACGAGTATTCTGAAACCGCTATGCGCGCAATGCGCACCGCAACTGTACAGAGCTTCAGTCTTTCAGAGCACCCCCCCCAGGAAGTGAGGTTGTTGGAGATCTCAATGAGTTGGAGCTTTCGATAGAACACCGGTACTGAAATGTTGGTAAGTATGGACATTGTATCGGAAGAGTAGTCTATCCAAAATTATGGGAGGCACCATCTGCCTCCTGGGAAGACCTGAGGTGGGATGTAGAAGGGCTTGGCTGCATCCCGGGGACCGGTACTATAATCTTGGTAAGTATGCACATTCTATCGGAAGAGTAGTCTATCCAACATTATGGGAGGGACCATCTGCCTACTGGGAAGACTTGAGGTGGGCTGTAGGAGGGGTTGGCTGCATCCCGGGGACCGGTACTATAATCTTGGTAAGTATGCACATTGTATCGGAAGAGTAGTCTATACAAAATTATGGGAGGGACCATCTGCCTCCTGGGAAGACCTGAAGAGGGCTGTAGGAGGGGTTGGCTGCATCTCGGGGACCGGTACTGAAATCTTGGTAAGTATGCACATTGTATCGGAAGAGTAGTCTATACAAAATTATGGGAGGGACCATCTGCCTCCTGGGAAGACCTGAGGTGGGCTGTAGAAGGGCTTGGCTGCATCCCGGGGAGCGGTACTATAATCTTGGTAAGTATGCACATTGTATCGGAAGAGTAGTCTATACAAAATTATGGGAGAGATCATCTGCCTCCTGGGAAGACCTGAAGAGGGCTGTAGGCGGGGTTAACTGTGTCCCGGGGACTGGTACTGAAATGTTGGTATGTATGCACATTGTATCGGAAGAGTAGTCTATCTATTATCTATTGAATAATATAATTTAAAACAATTGGTTGCCTGACACACACATATTCTCAATTAATTTATAAGAAATAATATTTTTATATATATATTTTATTTTTATTAATTTTTTTAACTATATTTAGCTGCTTGCCTGTAGAATTCATCATCTGGGGTATCATTTGGCCAATAGGAACCCCTGAGAGATAGAAGAATTCTGTGTGCCACTCAACTTGCAACAGTTGCAAAGCTGATACAGGTTTGTTTTTGTTTTTGGGGGGGGGAGGGGCTGACCTTACAATATGAATTCAGGGTGGAGGTGAACTCTGAAATACATTCAAAGCATCTTTGTAACTCTTTGCATACATTTAATTAAGCAAAGACACACACACACACACACACACACACATGCATGCAAACCCCCTGAGAACATGTGTGTATTCTATACAAGATTCATTCATCATTCTAATTCCAAAAGGCTTAAGATAAGAAATGATACGTACACTTATCGGCTGACTTTTTGGTACATCATAGACACCTTCTTTCTTATGGCTGGTAGGGACCTAGAATTAAGCCAGATATTGCCTGGGTAAATATGAAATGTCAATGTATCACAATCACACAGTACAGACATGTGACAGGACAAATGCATGCTGAACACACGTGGCTAGCCGTATCTCGTGTACTACGTGGTGCTGTAATGTGGAGGGGGAGGTGGGGGGGGCATGCCGGTTACCTAATGGAATTCATTAAAACAGACTAGACAGGAATCAAGAGCCACATCGCTCGATCAACTGGATTTTAAATTATTTGTGATTGGCTGTTATAGGTGACTGCACTTTACATCACTTTGTCAAATGTATCTTTGGCCAAACAATTTTTTGTATTCAAGGTCGGGACTGCATAGGGAAGGATTAGACGCAGCCCCTCCCCACCCCCCACCCCCGCCGTTAGGGTTTTATTCCTCAAAGAGTAAAAACAAAAAAAGGAGCTCAAATTAGATGGTGTTGGAGCCCATGTTGCTTAATGATTCATAAAGATGGAAAATACCAACATGTTTCCAGGGCCGACACACTCCTCCTTCATCGGGGCTTGGAATCATTGAGGGCTTAAGAGGACTCAATGAAACAGAGTGGATGCAAAAAATGGTAACCAGACTGTCTCTTAGACAGTTGCCAGAGTAACAGGTTTCCCCATTGGAAGATTTCCCTTCTGTTCCTCCTTAGGTGACAACTGTAAAATGTTGCATTCCCCATCACTTTCTGTCCCAGCAACCGTGGTCCCCCAGGAAGGGAGAAATCTCAATCTAAACCTGACAAGGGCTGACTTCTGACTTCTCTTGCTGCATGCTTGTTTGGGACAAGTGATTTGGAAACCACTGAAGCCAAAGACCCTTTAAAAAACATCTGCAGGAAAACAGACCTAAACCCGACATGCTCTGCGAACTTTAATGCACAATTATTTATTTCTTCTAAATTCAATGGTGAAGAATAAAACATCTAATATGGAAAGAAGAAAGCTGTGTGCACCCCGCCTGTCAGTACTTAGTAGGTCCACAGATATGGACAGTGGCAATTAAATGCAAATCTACAACTTCTACTGCAGAATGAAAGCTTTGCCTCCCTCCTCCTACCTCCTAAACCTGTACTGGTCACCTTCATAAGGAGCTCTGGCTGCAATAGTTACCTTCAGTCCGAAGCTGTCTCCTGCACTACCTCTTTTTTGGCACAAGATGTCCTCATTCTTCCCATCTGAATGGTGACCAGTGTCTCCCAACTGAGAACTGGTGCAGGGCATCACCACAGCACCCTTAATTCACTGTGTAATGATGCGGAGAGCGCCACTGATGTGACACATCACTGAACAATGCCTACCACCGGGAGAAGACCGAAAAGGAAGAGGACCCAGCAAATCACATTACCGGCCTAAAGACTTTTGGAAAAGCCCCTGGAGTTGGCCTTTAACTGGCTGCATGCTTGTTCTCAGTCAATGACTATGGTCAACGGCAGCTAGCATTTAAGAAGACATAACAGTGGGGCTGATGTATAAATCTTCTGTCCAGCCTGTAGCTGGGCGAATTACATTCCCATTACCACCACTAGATGGAGCCGAGGAGCATAGGAATTCTATGCTCATTAGCCCCATATAGTAGTGGTAAAGCCATGCGAATCCAGCTACATCTTGGGTGGAAGATGTATACACCCATGTGTGATAGAGTCCAATAGCAAATACATTGAGGGCCCCCTTCTTGCCATATGTCCATCTCAAAGGTTATTCCTCTAATGATAGCGACCAAAAACTGTTTTCACAGCCATTAAATACAGCAGGGTTAGGCAACCTCAGAACTCCAATTGTTGTTTAACTACAAGTCCCATGAATCATTGCAAGACTCTGACAGCGAGAGGCATGACTCCCAGAGCCAGAGGCATAGGTTCACCACAGCTGGAGTGTTAGGCTTGCCAACCATTGGTGTAGGGGTTGCCAAACTTCATCCCTCCGACTGTGGTGAACCTACAGATCCCATGAATCATTGCAAGACTCTTGACAGCCACAGGCATGACTCCCAGAGCCAGAGGCATAGGTTCACCACAGCTGCAGTGTTAGGCTTGCCAACCATTGCTATAGGGGTAGCCACACTTCCGCCCTCCACCTGCGGTGAACTTACAGATCCCATAAGGCATTGCAGGACTCTGACAGCCACAGGCATGACTGCCAGAGGCATAGGTTCTCCACAGCTGCAGTGTTAGGCTTGCCAACCATTGGTATAGCGGTAGTCAAACTTCAGCCCTCCACCTGCGGTGAACTTACAGATCACATGAGGCATTGCAAGACTCTTGACAGCCACAGGCATGACTCCCAGAGGCAGATGCATGATGGGATTTGTGTTTTCCACACGGCTGGAGTGCCAAAGTATGACTACGCCTGATATAGAGGTTCCTAAGTTATATAAACATTCATTATATCTGAAATATATTTGGCAAATGCCGTTCCTACCTGCATAAATCAAATCAGTGTAGCCAAAAGGTTCTGGACCCCATAGCAGCTGCAAGGTCAGTTGTCAGAAACTGCACCCTGTCAGGAACTGGATCTGAACCCCGGGGCCTCTGCTGTAGCTGGCAGTGGTTCTACCTGCTGAGCCACCTTAGAACCTTGTATAGCTCCTTGCCTGATCTCCTGTGTAACCCACAGGTAAACCTAGTTTCTGCTGAACTCTGAACTCCTTGCTCCTCCCTTGAACTTCCTATTTAAGCCACGCCTCTGCACTTCCTGTTTGCCAGATTATTGTGCTTCTGCCAATATCTTGTTTCCTGCTCCTCCTGTGATATAATCCTCTCATACTGCTACCCGTGTACCCACCTTTGGCTGCTGATTCACCGACTCCTCTCATCGTCTTCCAGTTCATACCTGATACCTTTGGCTACTGACCTCGGCTTCATCTCTGACTACGCTTCTGCCTGCTCCTACACTACTACCGTCTGCTTGTGTACCAAACCCGGCCTGTTATACAACGAAGTTGCCTGCTGTTTCAGCTACTGGACTCTGAGCCTGATCACAGATCGTGACACCACCATTGACGGTCCCTTTACTTTCCTTTCATCTGTTATCAGCAACTCCTTTATAATCTCAGGAATTCATATTTCTTTGAGGCTGTCAGTCACTCTCGGCTTTATTAAATAAAAGGAAACATTGTTTTGCCGATACGTTAGCCCATTGCCGAGAAGCCGGCTCGCAGGACATATTACATTAATACAAAGATATTCGGTATCATTTCTATGGCATCTCGCTTACAATGGTGACTGATGCTGGAAACATTTACTGCTCCATTCAGGCCTGATCACTTGAAATTACACGGTGCGTATTACGGGGACCAGACGCAGATAATCTTTCATTATTTTGATTTGAGTTTGGACGGTTATTCTCTCCTTGCTCTGTGTTTCAAAATTAGGCTATTTCAATACGGGTATAAAAACCCTGTTATTTCCCTTCACTTAGCCTGTTATTGCTGCGATTTCCTCTGAATACCGGATTATATATGTACAATTCTCGGCACATGACATCGTAGCGTATCATTCGGGAGGTCGGTGTGTGCTGGGCAGCAAACATCGGGGCATTTTGACAAGTACAAGCACTTGTCAAAATGCCCTGTTTTTTCCGCCCTCACCCTGCAGCGCCCTCACGCGGCCGCCTGACTTGCCTTGCGGTAGCGCCGGGCCTGGGTGTGTGGCCTCTACAATCCTGTAGTGATCATTATAATCACAGGGGATTCGTGAGGATTGTGGACACACCGCCAGAATCCTGACTATTAGAAGTGAAGACACAGATACACAACATTGCTACAAGTCACCGTGTTATACATCAAGGCCGCTGCCCGCTGACCTCAATTATTCTCAGCTCTCAGGAAGAGTATCTAGGCCAGCACAGGGTCTAAGTAGTTAATATTCTCTGTTTTCAGAGATAAAGTTCTGGGTTCGATTTCTACCACAAGTCACAACCCAGAATGGCACTGGGGAGGGAAGGGGTTAATGCTCGATATGTTAGCTTTTGCCAAAGAGTTCCTGCCATTTAGAGCAATGTTCTAAAGAGAAGCCCTCTTCTTACGCTAACCCTCATTCTAACCCAAACAGTGACCCCCCCTCCCCTCCATCCTTAACACTGTCTTTGTTATTCTAACACTAACCCTCCCTAAAGCCCTAACCTTGTAAACTTAACCACCCTGTAACCATAACCCTAACCTGCCTGTAACCCTAACCCTCCATGTAACCCTAACCTCCATCTAACTCTAACCTCCATCTAACCCTAACCATCCCTGTAACCCCAAACCTCCCTATAACCCTAACCCTGTAACCCTAACACCTGTAACCCTAACCCTCCCTGTAACCCTAAACTACCCGTAACCTTAACACTAACCCTCCTTGTAACCCTAACCTCCATCTAACCCTATCCCTCCCTGTAACCCTAACCCTATCTGTACCCCTAACTTCCTTGTTACCCTAACTTCTGTGTAACCCTAACACTAACCCTCCCTGTAATCCTAACCCTCTCTGTAAACCCAACACTAACCCTTTCTAGCCTAGCACTAACCCTTACTATAACCCCAACCATTCCAGTAACACTTATACTGGACTAATACTAACCCTCCATGTTACCCCAACCCCTCCCTGCAACCCTAACCATCATTGTAACCCTAAAACGAACCCCATTCGTAGCCCTAAAATTAACCTCACCTGTAACCCTAACACATCCTCAATGAGATCTACCAACGAAAAAAACAACTGCATTCAGGGGCGGGAGGGGGCGTGGCGGTGCATTGAAGTCAATGGCACCACTCTCTTCTCTTCTGTCTCTTCTTTCACTTTTTCTGTTGTCTCTCTTCTCTCCCCTGTCTCCCCTCGTGCGCCGGCGTCCTGTCCTCCCGCGGTGCTCATGTGGCAGACGTTGCACATGGGGAGAGGTGTCCCACCCCTTCCCGTCTACGGGGGCTGACACATTCAGCCGGCGCGCCGCACGAGCACCGCGGGAGGACAGGACACAGGTCAGTGAGCAGATCACGATCTGCCAGTGT